TTATTGCTGATTGGCTACAAGTTTGTTTTGCGATTCGGCCCGAATCAGTTTTCTAAAGTGTTTTTGAAAAATCACATACCCTGCCTTTAAAGTCTTAAAATAGTCACATGGTACACTACTACTCTTAAGAAGGAAAAATTAGTTGTGTGTTTTGTGACATTTTTATATTCGCTTTAAATTTCTTGAGATGTCAATATTAAAATGTAATGATTGTAATTAAGGGGGTGTTTACACAAAACCATTAATTTACACGACAATGCTGTTTTGGGGCGCCTGAAAATGCAAACTTTTGTGAACAGGTTTCAAAGTGCATGTTTTTGAAAACAATACCGCTATCGCTTCTGTGTAATACATGAAAATGTGAATTTGTGTAATACATTGACATTATGCACATGCACATTACATGTATTACATTAGCTGCGTAGTGTTTCTCTACAAAGTAACATTGCCAACTACTGGTCTGGCATGAATAATACAGCATTTTAGTCATTTTCGCGGATTCGTGTGAACAGGGAGTGATTTGATGTTGTTGTCATCTGTACACAGAGCTTTTCAAAAATACAAAGGAAAAACATTTCTGTTTTTAATACATCCTTGTTGTGTAAATATACCCTTTAAGTACACAGTGATTGCTGTTTTGTCAAATAATCATGATTAGATCATATGTGACCCTGGAGCACAAAAGCAGTCTTAAGTCGCTGGGGTATATTTGTAGCAATAGCCAAAAATACATTGTATGGGTCAAAATTATTGATTTTTCTTTTATGCCAAAAATCATTAGGATATTAAGTAAAGATCATGTTCCATGAAGATATTTAGTAAATTTCCTACCGTAAATATATCAAAACTTAATTTTTGATTAGTAATATGCATTGCTAAGAACTTCATTTGGACAACTTTAAAGGCTATTTTCTCAATATTTAGATTTTTTTGCATCCTCAGATTCCAGATTGTCAAATAGTTGTCTCTCGGCCAAATATTGTCCTATCATAACAAACCATACATCAGTGGAAAGCTTATTTATTCAGAAAAATTGACCCTTATGACTGGTTTTGTGGTCCAGGGTCACAGGTGACGGACTTAGCTGGGCTGCTGAGAGGAATCTGATCATGTGATTGGTCAGTTGAGAGAGGCATGATACCATTGTGTTTGTTTGTGTGTTTGTGTTAGAAGTGTGCTGGTGAAGAGGATGTTCCGGCAGTCTGAGGATGACTTCTGTCCACCGCCCCATAAACAGCTCAGAGAGGAGACACAGAAGAGAGGTCAGAGCAGGACACACTTACACACATGCACATCTACAGCTGAAGAGTGTATTTCCCAACTTGATCTCACTGTTCTACAAGGTGGCGATTTCGTATCAATCTGTATGATGAGAATTGGATGAAACGTGATTTTTAATTTTTTTTAGAGAAAAGTAAACATGAAGGTCCACCCCTTAACATAATATACAAATGAGATTGTATGGATTCATATGAATTAGCCACCAATTCGCCAAAAGGTAAAATAGTTGAGATTATGATGGTATTTTCTGATTTATAGCACAGAATTGAAAAAATAAGAACAGTTTCAAGACACCTACACAGGCCATAAACAATTCTTGAGAAAACAAGGACATTTTATAAAAAATACAAAAATAAATAAAAAAATGAAGATGTTCCCTGAAGCTTCTCTAGGATTCTATTGTTTGAAAGTCTTTTTCTTAAAAATTCTATTTGGTGCTGGTTGTAGCAAAAAAAAAAAAAAAAATATATATATATATATATTTCAAATGATTTGTTAACTATATTTTAAATAAAAACAGCTATGGAAAAATGAAGAGACCATTTGAAAATTCTCAGTTTCTTCTGGATTTACGATTTATATTTATGTGTTTGAATAAAATGTAATTTTTGTTTTATTCTGTAAACTACTGATGACATTTCGTCCAAATTTTAAATAAAATGCCATTTAGAGCATTTTTTGCATAAAATGACAATTGGTCAAAATAAAAAATAGACGCCATGTTTTCAGTCATGTTTATATTCAATTTTAGACAACACAATACCAATGTTTGAACTTCAGAAGGGTTAAGAAATCAGTATATTTGGTGGAATAACCCTGATTTTCAATCACAACAAATAAAAACATTTATTATTTTGAGCAATTGCCATTTTCTGCAACAAAAAAAAAGCTCCAATATTTTTATTTGAAATTGAAAAGAAATGTTATCAGACCTTTACAGAGTATAAAACAAATATGAACATTTTACTCAAACCCATACCTAGTCAATTCAGTAAATCCAGAGAAACTGTTCATTTTCAAGTGGTCTCTTAATTGTTTCCATAGCTGTATGTAGGGTGATTGTACTTTACTGTATCATTTCTATGTGCAGCATGCTCTGAATTCCCACCGCTGATTTAGATTCTAAAGTCTTCATAGAATTGGAATAGAATGTGGAATTAAATTAAGACAAACTATGACATAATTAAGTCCAGTTACTTCATTAGAGATTGCTTTGACACTAAGCAGACTTAATGTTTTCACAGTGCTCCTGTACGTGAGGAAGGAGTCGGATGAGGTGTTCGATGCTCTGATGCTGCGGTCGCCCACTCTCAGGGGACTCATGGATGCAGTGAGTATCTGTCGCTGTAGGGGGCGCTCTACTCTAAATTACTGACGCAGTGTGCTGATTAATGGAGGTGTAAAATGAAACAGCATCAACTTGAAAATGAAGTGTATAAATTGTAAATAAATTGGCCATTTTCAGTTGTATAAATCCAGTGCCTGATCCCAATCTACCTCTTGGTAAAAATGATCCATCTAGTTATATTTGTGTCTTCAGCATATTTTTAAAAATAATTAAGACTAAAATAATCAGATCCAACTGAATCATGAACAAATTTATATAGATTTTTTTTATTCATTGTAAACAATCAAAATCAAATCATTGTCAATTTTATGCTCTGATACATGATTTAATTGATGAATTCTTTCATATCAACAGATTTCAGAGAAGTACGGTGTTCCCATTGATAGAATGGCCAAGATTTACAAGAAGAGCAAGAAAGGGTAAGTTATTTCAAGAGGACCCTGAAACAAGGCGTCCCCCAGGGTTCCGTTCTTGGGCCTTTGCTGTTTATGATTTATATTTTACCATTGGGTCAGTTACTACAGTGTCATGGCTTTAGCTATCATTTTTATGCTGATGACATTCAAATTTACACGTCATGCAGGCCTGCCCTATCCACCCAAATTGATAAAATTTCTGTTTGCGTGCAGGATATAAAAACATGGCTTAACTCTAATTTTCTGAAACTTAATATGGATAAAACTGAGATCATCATTATTGGTACCCCATCACTTACCACCAAAGTTCCCGCTGACTTTACTTGCAATATCACTGGCACTCTAATTGATATATATATATATATATATAAATAAATAAATAAATATTCGCCAGTGTAACTAGGCCAGTGAACAATACTCAGTTATAATAAGATGCAAATTTAGACACCACACACATTTAGTATTTCCTGCACTGCTTTTTGTTTCTAAATCTAAAACACCACAAAATCAGATTTACCAATGTTGTTAATATGAGCTTGCAGTCTGATTCAAATCATGGTTTAAAGATTGTGTACTGCAAAATAATGGCAAAGTAACACCTTTTTCTACTGACATGTCCCTGTGGGTTGTACACAAAAATAAACATACAGCACAACCAGTACAGTCTGGCTCACAAATAAATTGAGATGGTTCTTTTAATAAATTGTTCAAAAACACTCAGTTGTTGTGAGTGCAATTTCTCATTACTTTCAGCGAGGTCTCAAAATGAAGCAACTTTTTATGCACTAAAGGTTAGTGAAACAAATCAGAGATGACTGGTTGCTTATACGTAAAAAATGCATCATCTAATTATGCTATTTTTATGCTGCGCCTGAAAGCTGAAAATGCTGCCTCTGCAGGCAGCATACAGAGGTAGGAAGGCATCAAGGCAGAATCCTATGATCGTGTCACATCCTGTCCATCTGATCAGTTTTTGAAGGATGCATAGATGTATCCTACACTGCCTTTGATATCCTGTGTATTTGATCCCCAGATCGCTCTGTCTTGCCAATAACCTGTCTGAATTTAAATCGCTGCTCAAAACTCATTTGTTTTCACAATGTTACCTTTCTTAAGTTGACTTCTGTTTATTCTGTTTTATGTTGTCTTATCCATATATTACTCTCTGGATGTCTGATGTTCTCTTTACTTTACTTTCTGTATTATTGTTTGATTGTTTTTTTGATGTTATCCTCACATTTCTGATGTTTATTGTAAAGTGTCCTTGAGCTCTGGAAAGGCGCTATAAAAAATAAAACTCATTATTATTATTATTATTATTATTATTATTAAGAGGACATTTCAGATTCAGATGACAACTAATAAGCCCGTTGTAATTTAGTTTATTCTCCACATTTCAGGATGCTGGTGAACTTGGACGACAATATCATCGAGCACTACTCTAACGAGGACACATTTATCCTGAGTATCGAGAACTACGCAGATGCTTACAAAATCACATTAACGGAAATATGAACAGCAGCACATGCATTTCTAACATTCAGTATGTTTAAGCTAAAAGACTTGTTACTTGGACTCCAGCCTGGTCAGATTCAACATCAACTGTCCATAAATTGAATTGACATCAACTAAAGCTGACATACCTCATTTTTAAGACACCTCAAGTATGATTTTTAATGGTCAATTAGGAGTTTCGGTTCATCCCAAACATGTCCACAATTTCACTGTTCTGCTGTGGATGGAAAGTATATTGCTATCATTGGCTTCACGTTAAGGACCAAAGTACAGACTAATTCACATTTCACTTGATTTTGGAGACCACCAACAGATTCCCACCTGAATCTCAACCGTTTCTTCCAAAGGATTTCACTGGAGTGGAGTATGAAATGAAATACGTGATCTCTTCATCATATCAAAATACTGTGCGTACAGTATGAATATTCAACAAAAGCAAGCGTCCACTGGAATTATAATGCTAAGATGCATTTGCTTGCAGCAAAAATATGAATTTTGGACTTTTCTGTGGAGTCTGAGAGTCTGCAGAGCTGTTGATCTGTGAAAAGTGTCCAATACTGTCAATGTTTTTTTGTGAGTGTGTGTATTATGGTGCCATTAATATTATTGTTAATGTTAGCTTGGTAGATATGATTTAGCTTCTTACTGTCTGAATATTCACAGACTTTTTTTCTGATGCAAAAAGAAAGCTATTTTTATGAGACTGTGCCATTTCAAGTTTTTGTATGCTAAATAGTGCAAAGCAGGAAATATGTATAAATACTGTAATGTTTAACTGTACAGTACTAATTATCAGTCACAGTAAGTGTAGCTCAGACACATTTCAGTTGCATGTTTTACATGTTGCACTCATGTTTTAATGTGAAATTAATTTGATAAAGGTTCCATTGGTTTTAAATGCAAAGAGATTTCATGACCTTGTCTGAACGTGTATCTTCACATACAAAGCAAAGGTTTTTCCCTTTTGCATTCAAATATGAGTGTCTCAGTCTTTGTCATTATGTTTGAAATAACTATGCAGTCTTAAAGTCTGGTTCATTTCTAGTGTTTGTATAGTGTAACAGGATAACATTAACTGTGTAGTGCAGATTCAGTTGATCAGCACCATTTTGAGCTGTTAATGTTGTAATGTTTGAAAACCATTGTCTTCCAAAAGAAATCATGTAAAAGGGCACTTCGGAATAATAATTTGTATGTAAATAAATGCATTTTTATCAAATTTGGATTGTTTTTTCACACTACAATTAAAGGAATAGTTTACCCCAAATTTGCTGAAGATTTACCTATACCTCAGGCAATCCAGGATGTAGATGAGTTTGTTTCTTCATGGGAACAGATTTGGAGAAATGTAGCATTACATCACTGTCTCACCAGTGGATGCTTTGCAGTGAATGGGTGCCGTCAGAATGAGAGTCCAAACAGCTGATAAAAACATCACAATAATCCACACAACTCCAGTCCATCAGTTAATGTCTTGTGAAATGAAAAGGTGTGTGTTTGTAAGAAACAAATCCATCATTAAGACTTTTTTTTTTACTTCAAACCATTACTTCCGGCTAAAATATAAGTCCATAATCCATAATAACGCTTCCTCAAGTGATAGAGTCCATCCCCTGTTGTCCTCTCACATCAAAATCCACCCACATATTTGTTTAGAGCTGTTTTGGACTGTATTGACTTGTAAATGATGCTTGACCTGTGCAGATTTCTCTCCTGTTTCAGACGAGATGACTCTTTAACAAGCAATAGCATGGATAGAGGACTCATTTTTTATTTCATTTGAAGTTAAAAATGCATTAAGGATGGATTTGTTTATTACAAACATGCAGCTTTTCACTTCAAAAGACATTAACTGATGGACTGGAGTGGTGTGGATTATTGTGATGCTTTTATCAGCTGTTTGGACTCTCATTCTGACGGCACCCATTCACTGCAGAGCATCCATTAGTGAGCAAGTGATGTAATTCTGCATTTCTCCAAATCTGTTCCACTGAAGAAACAAACTCATCTACATCTTGAATGACCGGTGGGTGAATACATCAGGGTTACAGGGTTAATAACTTAGTAATGTTCATGCAAGACCCTCAGACACAGAGACATTTTCTTTCTTTTCTTTCTTTTAGGAGTTTCGGTTCATCCCAAACATGTCCACAATTTCACTGTTCTGCTGTGGATGGAAAGTATATTGCTATCATTGGCTTCACGTTAAGGACCAAAGTACAGACTAATTCACATTTCACTTGATTTTGGAGACCACCAACAGATTCCCACCTGAATCTCAACCGTTTCTTCCAAAGGATTTCACTGGAGTGGAGTATGAAATGAAATACGTGATCTCTTCATCATATCAAAATACTGTGCGTACAGTATGAATATTCAACAAAAGCAAGCGTCCACTGGAATTATAATGCTAAGATGCATTTGCTTGCAGCAAAAATATGAATTTTGGACTTTTCTGTGGAGTCTGAGAGTCTGCAGAGCTGTTGATCTGTGAAAAGTGTCCAATACTGTCAATGTTTTTTTGTGAGTGTGTGTATTATGGTGCCATTAATATTATTGTTAATGTTAGCTTGGTAGATATGATTTAGCTTCTTACTGTCTGAATATTCACAGACTTTTTTTCTGATGCAAAAAGAAAGCTATTTTTATGAGACTGTGCCATTTCAAGTTTTTGTATGCTAAATAGTGCAAAGCAGGAAATATGTATAAATACTGTAATGTTTAACTGTACAGTACTAATTATCAGTCACAGTAAGTGTAGCTCAGACACATTTCAGTTGCATGTTTTACATGTTGCACTCATGTTTTAATGTGAAATTAATTTGATAAAGGTTCCATTGGTTTTAAATGCAAAGAGATTTCATGACCTTGTCTGAACGTGTATCTTCACATACAAAGCAAAGGTTTTTCCCTTTTGCATTCAAATATGAGTGTCTCAGTCTTTGTCATTATGTTTGAAATAACTATGCAGTCTTAAAGTCTGGTTCATTTCTAGTGTTTGTATAGTGTAACAGGATAACATTAACTGTGTAGTGCAGATTCAGTTGATCAGCACCATTTTGAGCTGTTAATGTTGTAATGTTTGAAAACCATTGTCTTCCAAAAGAAATCATGTAAAAGGGCACTTCGGAATAATAATTTGTATGTAAATAAATGCATTTTTATCAAATTTGGATTGTTTTTTCACACTACAATTAAAGGAATAGTTTACCCCAAATTTGCTGAAGATTTACCTATACCTCAGGCAATCCAGGATGTAGATGAGTTTGTTTCTTCATGGGAACAGATTTGGAGAAATGTAGCATTACATCACTGTCTCACCAGTGGATGCTTTGCAGTGAATGGGTGCCGTCAGAATGAGAGTCCAAACAGCTGATAAAAACATCACAATAATCCACACAACTCCAGTCCATCAGTTAATGTCTTGTGAAATGAAAAGGTGTGTGTTTGTAAGAAACAAATCCATCATTAAGACTTTTTTTTTTACTTCAAACCATTACTTCCGGCTAAAATATAAGTCCATAATCCATAATAACGCTTCCTCAAGTGATAGAGTCCATCCCCTGTTGTCCTCTCACATCAAAATCCACCCACATATTTGTTTAGAGCTGTTTTGGACTGTATTGACTTGTAAATGATGCTTGACCTGTGCAGATTTCTCTCCTGTTTCAGACGAGATGACTCTTTAACAAGCAATAGCATGGATAGAGGACTCATTTTTTATTTCATTTGAAGTTAAAAATGCATTAAGGATGGATTTGTTTATTACAAACATGCAGCTTTTCACTTCAAAAGACATTAACTGATGGACTGGAGTGGTGTGGATTATTGTGATGCTTTTATCAGCTGTTTGGACTCTCATTCTGACGGCACCCATTCACTACAGAGCATCCATTAGTGAGCAAGTGATGTAATTCTGCATTTCTCCAAATCTGTTCCACTGAAGAAACAAACTCATCTACATCTTAGATGGCCTGAGGGTGAGTTCGTTTTCAGCAAACTTTCATTCTTGGGTGAACTATTCCTTTAATCCCGAGTTATGGCCACTTTTAACCCTGTAGGTTAATGAGAATTTCATACAAGAATTTTGCTAAACCAGGGTTACAACCGATCCTGGGTTAATAACTTAGTAATGTTCATGCAAGACCCTCAGACACAGAGACATTTTCTTTCTTTTCTTTTATTTATGATATAACCAAAACAGATGCCTGCGTTTATAATATCTACACTCACACAATGTACAGGTTACCATATAAAATCTACAAAAGGATGACAAACATTTAGTTGCACAGCTTACACTGATAGAACACTGTTTGTTTTGCCATATATATATTTAATCTGTGTTTGGCACTTGACCACATGTTGCTGTCTTACGTGCTTTAGAAATGAAATGCCAGATGCTAAACTGTTTTTTTAATGAAGGAGAATCTACAGTACAAACATAAATGATCCGTTTTGAACTGAACTGTTCTGATCAGCATGTGGCTGAAGAAAGTTTGATCATCACAACCTCGGCTTCAAGAGAGTTTCTGATGGCTATCCATATCTATACATGTGGCCTCAGATATGAAGTGGATTACGTGTGAGCGAGTGTTTGTGTATTGATCAATGGACTACAGATTTGCAATACACAAAAAGCATACGCCATCCACTTACACTGTCTCTTGCATTTAAAACATAGTCACGTCTAACCCTGAGGTTGTGTAGAAATATTCGTACACATTGATATTTTACGCTCCAATTGTCATGTCACCGACTGCATGCTCACAAGTGCTGACTGAAACGTACAGTATGCATAGACAAACACTGGATAAACACACAAGAACTCAAAAAGCATTACATACATACCCACATACACACATATTCATCCTGAAATGTACAGAATGCCCCAGTAGATGCAGAGAATACATTCAGCCTGAGGTGCACACCCCACAGTAGAACGTGCAAAATGATTTGAGCCGGATATAAAAATAAAGACCTGAACCGAATACTAAGACCAAGATTCAGTCAAATTTAATAGTACTTGGGTGAGTCACTCATGCTAATGTGTAGTATTTTTTGACAGCTCCCTGGTGTGGGAAGCAGATTGACTGAATCGAGGTCTGGATAGAGTAGAAAGTGTCTGGAAAGCTGAAGTGAATGTGTCGGCTGGTGTCTGGCAGTAAATGCTGCAGGGGTTCATGGTCCGTTGTGCATGTGCATAGTAACATGTGGTCTTCGCTGTTCATTGTCACAGTCCTACAAACATATGCTTTTACTGTACAAATGATGATTTGAAACAAAAGGAAATGCCATATTTCAATAATAACAACAGCAGTTTGATATAGAAAAGCAAATTTTTTTTTTTGTGGTGTGATACATTTTTAAACCATAAATTATTTCTACAATTTTTTTTGTCTGATACTTTTTCATGTCTCTTTTGAAGCTGCAAGATTAATATTATTGATATTTTCCAACTTTATGGTTATTGTCAGTCCTATGCCGTTAGTATTAATGTTTAAAAAAGACTTTTTTTTAAAAGAATGATTATTATTTAGTTTTAAAGGTTATACTGATGCTCATTAAAGGAGCACCATCGTGACAAAATGTGACCCCAACCGCCCCTTTAGAATCTATCACAGGCTCTGATATCATCATAATGCAATAAACGTTGAAAAAAAACAAAATCAAGTAAAAAAAAAAACATGATATGTCATTCTCTTTTAAATAGACGTTTATGCTCAATGGAACTGAAATACTAGGAACACTAGAAATGACATTTGTCATTGTATGTGTAAAATTATTTAATTTATTAAATTCTTAAAAAATAATTATTAAATAAATTATATTTTGGTGTTTAGAAAGTTTGACAAAGTGTCACATTATCTGGTGCATTTTGCATGCTTGGAAATGTTTGCTTCAACTCCCTGTCTGTTAATATTTAAAGCCCTTTTCGAAAGGGTTTACTTCAGTACCAAAAGTTTATAACAGGAACAGGATGTGATGTCACTAGCATCACTGCCTGCTGTGTTAAATGGCAAAAAGCCTTATATGAGGAACTGAAAAACCAGAGAGACACATGAACACAAGCTTCTTAGTGTGTGTCTGTGGGAAATGAATGGTCGCATGTTTCCATGCGTGATGTTCAGTGGGAAACCCACAGACACTGAGATCGGGATGTGGTTTGGAGTCCATGCTCTGCTGATATTCGAAGGAGAGCGAACAGAAAGACTTGTGTAAGAGAGGTTGTGACAGTAGCGAGACGCTGCTGACTCACTGTCCCGCACTGCTGGGATCGCACTGCAACAATCGCACGATGGATGGGTCGTTCTTTGCGCCCTCTACAAACTCTTCAATTGACAGCTTACCTGAGGAACAACACAGGGTCAAAGGTCAAAAATAACCAGGATTTGGCTGATTAGCTTGGGTCAGTTAGCCATTTGAAAGCATATTTAAAGCAGTTTATTTTTTTGAGCAACAAGTGAAATGCAAAAATTTTTTACCAATGCCTGATTTCTAGGAGTCCGCTTAAACATACTTTTAAAAAGAATACATATTGCAGAAATAATATACTTGTAAATGTAAAGTTTTTGGACACTTAAGTGCATGTTTACAATTAAATTAAAATGTATTATAGTTTAAATTTACATTAAATGCAATGAGTGAACTTTTTACCCACTTATGTAGGACTTAAGTACATCTTTATATGTAATTTCATAATTAATTGTATTATCTTTGAAATATGATATACTGCCATATCTGTGTACTGCCGAATGTACTGACAAGCACTTATGATAAACTAAAATATACTTTAATGTTATTTCTACTAAACATGTATGACATGAATTTTAAAAATATATATGTAATTAAACACCTGTAATGTGTAATGTAATTTCATCAACAAATTAACATCAAATGCAATTATATTGAATAACACACTACAGTTAAAATGATAATCAAGTGCTTCACATCTGTTTTAGTATGTTAGTCAACGCATCAAAACAAGTGTACTTCTTTAAACACATCAAAAGATTATTAAAGCAATGGTTTTAAATGCACTTTAAAGTAAAACACTTATTTGACTGTTACTAAGTGCATTTCTTAAAAGTCTACTTAAGTGTGTTAAGAAACGGTCATGAAAGTGTCTCTCTTTAAGTGCACTTAAGTGGTCTTTTGTTTCAATGAAATTATTTTTTTTAAATATACTTTTAAGATTTTAAGTACACTATAAGTGTGCATTCAATACACTTAAGTGCACTTCTTTTTCACAAGTGGATAGGAAGCTCACCATCACGATTTGTGTCCATCTGGCGGAAGATCTTATCAGTGCGTTTCTCAGGTGTGGACTCGTCCTCTGGCATCTTCATCACTGAAGAAACCATCTTATAGATGGCCTGAGGAAGACAACAGCAAAGATAAAATCAGCATCAGCTTTAGAAAAGGTATTATTACCCTACAAAAAACATGATGTTAAGTGTAAAATTCTACTCAAACAGAACAAGACAAAATCTGTTTCACAACCTAGTGAGCTTCCTTGTTGTTTACTGCTGCCTACTAAGCTTCCTCACTGTTGCTGTGACCTTGCAAACAAAAATTCAACTCACAATTAATTTCAGTAGTTTGGCTTTAGCATGTCGCTAAGCTAACAACACAGTACTCTAACAAGCATAACTATATTTATAATCAAGTTTTGTCTTCCATGACGGAATCATCTGTCATCTTGGATGATTCTAAACTCGTTGCAATGCATTCTTGGGTTGTTTTATTGGGGAAATGTAATGAAATAATACATGCAGTGCTGCTTTAGAATTTTCTAGCTTTTGGTTTGAGAATTCTGGATTAGAGTTTGCTCTCTTTTGGTTTGGGAGTGCAGCTATGATGCTGTTAAGGTCTAAGTAGACATTAAATCTTATTAGAGAAAGTTAGAGGACTCTGGGTATGATTTGGAATTGGAGCTGTCAGTTCATAAATTTCAAAGTAACCATAGCGACTGCTTTTCCCAGAGAATTGAATGAACTGAAAAGGAAATTACAGCCATTTGCTTGCACTCAGCTGTCAGATCCAGAGAGTGCGCTTAGGAAGTCGACTTAGAAAGTCACCAATTGCTCCAACAGCGTGAAATTTACCTAAATACGAGCAAAAAGTAATTACCCGCTGCACTCAAATCTCCCTAATTGAGCAAAACATCGTGCGTAACTGAAAATTGCTAATTTTTCTGGTCTAAAAAACAAGGTAGTAAGACACAAGTCAAAAACCAGACATTTCCTAGAGGCAGTTTGATATTACTGATTTGCCATATTATTCACTAATATAGAGATGAAAGAGATCCGCACTCGTCCAAATTCAGCCAAAAAGGCTTATTCCATTTATTGCTCAGAGGTCACAAAAATATGTGCAACTGCAACTGCTAAATACACCTACTGTACCTGAAAAACCAAGCATTGCTTGTTTTATTTGTATATTATGTGTATTTGTAAAGTGTATCTTGTAATGCTTTGTTTTTTAAAATAGGGAAATTAGTTTGGCTGTACTGCTCAGACAACTTGCAAAATAGTAAAACCAACATGCCAAAGAATCGTGATAAAACCGTGAGCAAAAATGGGTGCAGCAGGCGCAATGATATTACGCAGCGCCTGAAAATAGGCTTATTGGAAGTTACCTAGCTGGGGACTATTTTCAGGCGCTGCGTAATATCATTGCGCCTGCTGCAC